ATTAAACTTTAAGGATGTTGTTCCATTTGGTAGGAACGTAATCTGCGCTTGTAATTTGGATAGCATATCACGTCCCAGCAATTGGACTGGACACTCAGGCATATAAAGGAATTGATGTTTTACTACGTGGCCTCCCAATGTACAGAGTCGACTTTTAAGAACCGGTTTTTCAGCACTTCTTCCAGTTGCTCCTATTACAGTAATAGTTCTTCCAGATGGAGGAGCAACTAGATTAGTCACCACCGAATGTTCAGCACCAGTGTCGATCATGAACGCACTCCTTTTTCCCCCTATTGATACATCGACCATAGGCTCCGCTCGACCAAGGGGGATGGAGCCCGGTCGGTATCAATAGTCCTCCATGACCGTGTCAGCCAATCCCACAAAGTCCCTACCTTCTCTATCGCGGGACCTTTGCGCTGCTGGATAGTACCTATCTTCCCTTACACTTCCTCTGTTCCCATTACTCCCTCTATTACCATTACTCCCTCCGGGGCCTCCTCTACCTCTCGCTCTGCCTCTAAAGTTTCCGTAACCTGCCCTGGGTAAGTCTCTCTCATACTGCTCTCTTTGCGGACACTCGTTCCTCCAATGCCCTTCTTCCTTACAGTACGCGCACTGATTCCTACTCAAAGGCTCCCTATTCCATCTACCATCGCCTCTATCTGGGCCCCGTCTATCTACGCCTGCGATCGCTACCGCTAGCATATCTGCCTTTCTACGCATCTTGCGCTCTTCCTCTTTCTTACTTTCTGTTTCCCTATTCATATATACTTTGTTCGCTACCTCCATTAGTTGGTGATAGACATACCTGCAAACCCTTCTAATTTCTGTAGCTTGCGCTTAATATCTCCGTAAGCTTGGCTGACAAAGGCGGAGTTTACCATTCGGGAATTATCAGCGTCTTCCGGATTAAAGGGGGTATACAAGCGGTATGCCTCCAATAATCGGTCATAAAAGACACTGGGCGCTTCATCACTTTTCTGAATCACCTCAACTGTCTTCGACATGTTAATAGCTTTCTTCCCTCCGGCTTTCATGCCAGCAATTATAGCATCTCTATAGGCTTTAAGTTGAGCCATATCTGCGCCATTTACATTCCAGTCAGGATCGGTGTTAGGGTAATGTGTTGCGGCCCATGCTGCCGGATTGGCTTGATTTAAAGCACGGGCTCTCTCCTCTAGCGCCTTAATGGCCGCTTGGTTAATCCTTGTCCTTTCCTCATTATTGAACAATGTCATTAATAACTGCTGGCAATCAGCCCATGTCGGGTTATGTGTCTGAACTATCGAGGTGAACAGATCGGTCATAGCTTGTGGTTTCTCAGTGTACGAGGAATTGTGGGTCTTCCAATTCAAGAGATCGGTAGTCGTGAACGGGACATATACGAAGACTGGGTCAGCATGTGCCATTTGACCTGCGGCATCGATATAGGCTGACCCAGGATTCAGACGAAGAGGCATCTGATAATGTTTTAATTGTTGGGTACCGGTCAGTTGTCGGGTTAGTATGGGGCTACGTGGAGGGGCGTCAGTTAAAGGTTCCGGTCGAGAGGTAATAGGGCATGAGGATGTGGGAACTTGATTTTGGGAAAAGTTAGTGAATAGTATACTCCGAGCCGAGCTAGAAGAAGCTTGACCGGAAGTTTGAAGTGGCGCCAAATCAGGATATTCAGATCTAATGGGGGTTGGTCCTGGTTCCGGAAGGGGAGTTTTAATACGAGGGGGGGTGGATTCTGTACTGGAGGAGGAAGCGGAAGTGGATGGGGGCAATAGGGGAAGGGGTGCAGAGCTTCCTGCATTCGCGTCACTTCCTCTTAAAGGAAAGTAAGGGGGCGGCAAAGGGATCTCGGACTCAGGGGGCGTGTCCAAAATGGGCCTAACACCAGTCCTAGTGGACAAACAAGTCCTGGCCACCATGAGGCGACATTGCTCCTCGTGGCATATCCGGATCCATTTTGGCGAGTCGTTTACGGCCTGCCCCAACAATCAATGTATGGAAACTGTCCGTAAAGTTCAGGCCTACCTGATACAGCCACGTGTACACGCTGTACCAGGGTTGGATCCAAACTGCCACGCGGCGGCCATGCCGCAACCAAAATAGGCCACTCCCTAGTGCACAAAGTGACCAAACGTACAGGAGACATTTTAACCCCAAAATCACATGTTTTGAATCCCTTTTTAAAATTCTTTACCATACAACCTAAGGGATCCGAAATCGTTGACTCTGACGCGCCCATACTTATCAATGGAACGTCGTTGACAACGAATACTATGCACGCGTTCTTATTCAACAGTCACACCCGTTTCCTCTGGCAACAGCACCACGTGGTACAGTTACCGAGTGAAACGTACACAATAACACAATAATCACTCAGGGAATTCCCGTACACACACAGCTGTTACACCAGTCACTAAATAATCAATATTATGCCCTTTGGCGAAACTATACAGTCACCCACGCTATAATTCTCTATATATGAATTACCCGTCTATAACACACCCCAGTAACATCGTCTTTTACTAGTATCGGTTACAGTACGGTTAGCATAGGTCAAAGCACAATTTAAGGTCACAATACAATTATTAGTGGTTACGGTGTTAAACATGCAATAGACGACAATGATTAGTACTTATATACAGTGTCAGTAAATATACAGGGTTATGGTACCGTGCACTATGATACAGCAACACACTATTAACACTCTCGCTAGACGGCTGAGCTCGCGCTATCTAACAAGATATACACTTTACTAACAATCTTTAACACATTTACAATCCCAACTAAACTATTGGCCAGTACCTTGAATGGACTACCTAAAACTATATACACCCGTTTTGGTTAGCCACACTGCCCAAACACCACATATAGCGAACTAGAGGGCGAAATTTACAAAATTGCCCTTCTAGTCTATTTACTCTATCAAAAGTCTAGTGGGTTCCAAATTTACACGCCTTCCCACTTAGCCAAGATAGGTTGAGAGCTAGCGAACCGAATTTACACAGGCGCCGCTTAGTCTCCCGGTCCCTCCGACCTAGCGAACGTAATATACACCCTAGAACGCTAGTCTAGACAAGACACCGGTGTCCGGCTAGGGCTATTTACACAGGACCCCGCCTGACTAACCAGATCAAACGGTCTTACTAAAGAGCGTTCGATCGAGCGGTGCGCCTTCGCTCCTTCCCTCCGACAGAGGGGGCAGATTCCATACACAGATTTAAACCCCTTTTGGGCCTACCGCACAATCGGTATACCCCTAGTGGGTCTGCCGTCTAAAACAGCAGTTGTCTTACCTCCTCGTTCCTGAACCTGAGTTCACACTCATCGACGGGGACACCCCAGCACTTCTTACGTAGAGGCCGATGATCTCCTGGACAACAGACCAGTGGCGCCGAGACGAAGGGAGGTCCACGCAGAAGTTCAGGGGTGCAGCCGTAGAGAACGTGGGCAAAGATAGACCGTCTCACGCCTCTGCCTCTCAGCTACCGTTGAACGATGAGCTTCCCGGCCAATGCACCAAATGATACCGGAGAAACTGACGGAAGCAAAGCACAGAGAGATGGACACAGGTTTCTTCAGGAAGGAAGAGATTCTTTATTGGATCACCGATCGGGACTCAGAGGGACTAATGTCACCAAAAATACAGCAAGTTCTGAGCCCTGAACAATAGTGCAGGCTCCCTATATAGGCACATAACTCCTCCCATATTAAGCTCCACCCGCACATTCTCTTGACCAATCATTACAAATAAGAATTAACTTCCTGCTTGACCGCATGGCTTGTCCAGCACAATGGAGGAGGGGAATACTACATCCTGTATTCTTGCACATGCTCCGTACACTACTGATCGTATCTTGCCTCGTGCAACCAACTGATCGATACGTCAGCATATGCACGTACACATGCCACGTGGTAATCTCGGCCTACTAAATTTATTTTTACCGAGATTCCACCACAATACCTTTGTTTTATGTAGCAAAATAAGCTAGCATGATATAAAGGATTAATATATTCAAAATTGAGGCCTATGCTGGTACTGTATTAAAATAAAGGATTAAAAACAATAAAATATTCGAAATTGAGGCCTATGCTGGTAGTCTATAAAAATAAAAATTAAAAAAAAAATAAGGCCTGAAAAACTACTAGGCCTGAACTATAGTAGTCAAATCAGCATTCAAATACAAAAAGAAGCAGCATGGAAGCCTATTAAAATGCAGGGCTAGGCCTGTACTCTGTCAAAACCCAATAAAACTCAACTCAGATATCTGAAACACACAAAAAAACTAATAATATATTCAAAATTGAGGCCTGATGCCCAAGCTTGTATATTAAAATGGAGGTCTACACTAGGATACAAAAGAACCAAATCAGCATTCAAATACAAAAGCCGCATGGAAGCCTACTATAGTTTATTACAGGGCTCGGCCTGTACTCTGATAGTCAAAACACAACAAAACTAAACTCAGATATTTGAAACCCACAAAAACAACCTGTATGATACCTTTGATTTATGTATCAAAATAAGCTAGTACTACTATTATTAAAAACAATAATATATTCAAAATTGAGGCCTAAAAACGAAGGCCTGAAAAACTACTAGGCCTGAGCTATGGTAGTCAAAACACAACAAACTCAGGTATTTGAAACACACAAAAAAACCTAATATATTCAAAATTGAGGCCTGATGCCCCAGCTTGTATATTAAAATGGAGGCCCAAACTAGACTCCACACACAATCAGCCCTTGATTTCCCATGCAGAGGATAATTAAACAAAGTACTTTTTTTTTTTTTTTTTTAAATAAATCTGACTATCTATTAATGTGTTATAACCTCATAAATAACCTTTGTAGAAGTCTAAAATTCGTGGTCGCCAAATGTGGTGTATTACCAAACTCTATAAATTATTATGTACGCATACACATATAAACTCTGGTCCGTCTACTTTAACAAATATTTATTCAGAGACAAAACAACAACAACATACAAATAATGACACACAATCTAACTAACTATACCAACAATAACAGCAACAACAACCTAACTAACAAGAACAACTACATCTTATAAAATCACCAGATCCCAATCACAGTTCACCATGATAGAAATTAGCCCATGTCTGCTTAAGGGACTGCTCAGTAGCACAGCCAAGAAGGAACAGAGAGGAATGGAGAAAGTGGTTCTCTCTTTCCTGACTTGTAAAGGTATTGAATTACCAATTAACATTTCAAAAGGGTAAAGCTTATCCCACTGTAAGAAAAGTAAACATGAGCTTGGTCACATGACCCCTGGTCACCATATTAGTTTGATGACAGAATGTCACCACACAGCCCTCATGCCCCTGCTAATCTACTAGGCAGTAGATACTGTCTCCTCTTAGTGCAAATATCCAGTATAGCCCCACTGGAAAAGTAACATTGTCTGTGCCTTTAGAGGACAAACAAATGATATCTCTTTCAAATGTTCTGGCAACTCTCACTATGCCCAGCCATGTGTCAGAACCTACCATTGACTTGTCCTCAATCCCTGATTCCTTATGGGATACAGGGAAGACAGATACAGGCAGACTCTCTGTGCCCCCAGTCAAAGTGAATCTCTGCCCGGAGCCAAACCTCCCTATCAAAAACAATACCCCCTAAGCAGGCCCGGACTGGCCATCGGGCACAGCGGGCAAATGCCCGGTGGGCCGCGGTGGCCATGGGCCGAGGCCGGCAGGGGAGGTCCCAGGATCTCCCCTGCCGGTCTATGCAGGGCCGGCAATCTCCTAGCGCCGGCCCCGCTGTTTGCCACGACGGGCCGGTGGGGAGATCAAGGATCTCCCTGACCGGCCCACATGCGGCCGCCGGCGGGGAGAGAGGGGATGGAGCCAGCCAGGCTGGAGAGAGGACCCGGCGGAGCTCTAACTTGCAGCTCCGCCGGGTGCCTCTCGCGAGATCCGGACCGTTGCCATGGCAACGACCGGATCTCGCGAGAGTGAACTCTAGCCTCACAGGCTAGAGTTCACTCACCCACGAGGACCACCAGGGAACACCGCGTGCCGGACCCCCCCTCCCAGTCCCAGCGTGCCGGTCCCCCCCTCCCTTCCAGGCTAAAGGTAAGAAGGGAGGGGGGGGAAGAATAATGACTTTTTTGTTTTGTTTTGTTTTTTTATTTACCCCTCTCACCCCCCCCTACACACACACACACACACACAATAACATTTATACAGCACTCTCACACACAGCACTCTCACACCCATCACACACAGCACTCTCACACCCATCACACACAGCACTCTCACACCCAGCACTCTCACACCCATCACACACAGCACTCTCACACCCATCACTCTCACACCCAGCACTCTCACACCCATGACACACAGCACTCTCTCACACAGCACTCTCACACCCATCACACTCACAGCACTCTCACACACACACAGCACTCTCACACCCATCACACACAGCACTCTCACACCCATCACACTCACAGAGCACTCTCTCACACACACAGCACTCTCTGACACAGCACTCTCTCACACAGCACTCTCACACCCATCACACTCACAGCACTCTCACACACACACAGCACTCTCTCACACGGCACTCTCACACCCAGCATTCTCACACCCATCACACACAGCACTCTCTCACACAGCACTCACACCATCACACTCACAGCACTCTCACAGAGCACTCTCACACACACACAGCACTCTCACAGAGCACTCTCTCACACAGCACTCTCACACCATCACACACAGCACTCTCTCACAGAGCACTCTCACACAGCACTCTCTCACGGCACTCTCACACCGCACCCCTCACACACAGCACTCTCACACCTCACCCCTCACACACACATACTGCACCCCTCACATACACACAGAACCCCCCCAACACACTGCACCACACACATACACAATACTTCCAAATATATATATATATATATATATATATATATACACACATATACATATACATACACACACACACTACACTCTTAAAGAAACACTCTAGCCACCCAGACCACTTCAGCTTAATGAAGTGGTCTTGGTGCCAGGTCCTTCTAGGGTTAACCCATTGTTTTATAAACATAGCAGTTTTAGAGAAACTGCTATGTTTATCAATGGGTTAAGCCTTCCCCCAAAGCCTCTAGCAGCTGTCTCATTGACAGCCGGTATAGAGGCGCTTGCGTGCTTTTCACTGTGAAAATCACAGTGAGAGCACGCAAGTGTCCATAGGAAAGCATTATAAATGCTTTCTTATGCGACCGGCTGAATGCGCGCGCAGCTCTTGCCGCGCGTGCGCATCGGAAGAGGAGAGCTCCCCACACGGCGCTGGAAAAAGGTAAGTTTTAACCCCTTTCCAGAGCCAGGCGGGAGGGGGTCCCTGAGCCACATATGCATCACATTACACCACAAACACAACACGACTAAAACCGACCTTATTACACAATACCACACCACGACCAGCTCACTCTACACACACGCAATACCACAAGCAGGCTCCAAACACATGCACAATACTCTTTCCTGGCCTTTTGTCTCCTGGTATCCATTTATAAAGACACCAGAGACAAGTTGCAAGGAAACACAGTGCAAGCATGTTATTAATTTTGTTTGCACTGTGCAGAACAAATACAGAACTTTTTTCTCATGCTAGAGCTCTTCAGCAGAGCTCTGCGCATGGTCTGCCCTGGAAGAGCATTGAACCAACATGCTCACTTTGAGAGAAGGGCGTGTTTGTCATTGGTGATGACAAAACACACCTCCTCTGCCCCGCCCCCTTTTTAGTGGGCCGCTGTGTTAAAAAAATGCCCGGGCCGAATTTTTCTCCCAGTCCGGCCCTGCCCCTAAGCCCAGAACAGGAAGATGCTATTTCGCAATCTGTGCAAGAGTTTCTGCAGGCAGGGGTAGTAGTCCAGACCACCTACCCTTGTAACACACCATTGTACCCAATTAAGAAAAAGCAAGAGAAAGGGAAACCTGTGGTCTACCGCATGGTACATGATTTGAGGGCAATTAATGCTGTAACTGAACTCATTGCCCCTAATGTTCCCAACCCACACACCTTGTTGGCACAAATACCACCTTCCTCTAAGGTATTTACTGTTATTGACTTGGCAAATGCATTTTTCAGTGTCCCCCTCGCTCCCGACAGTCAGTTTTTATTTACATTTACACATAAACACAAGCAGTACACTTGGACAGTATTGCCACAGGGTGCACAAAACTCACCCACTATGTACAGCATGGCTATGGCCCAGATTCTTGAAGAGTGGAAAAGGCCAAATAATGTAATTTTATTACAGTATATCGACGACTTACTCCTATGTTGCGATAATATGGAATCTTGTATTGTAAACACTCTTTCCTTGCTGAAGTTCCTGGAAAAAGCAGGCTGTAAAGCGACAAAAACAAAACTGCAAGCATGTGTAGAGAAGGTTATTTTCCTAGGACATTGCATTTCCCAGGGCATAAAACATCTCACGGAAAGTAGAAAGACTGCAGTTCAAAATATTAGACCCCCCTGCAGTTTAGCCCAGGTTCGTACTTTACTCGGTTTGATTTCTTACAGCTGTCCTTGGCGGCGTTCCGTAGCTATCTACATGCAACCACTGTATGATTGTCTTGCCAACGAAAACAAACCATTTAAATTAACCCATGCGGCAGAAAATGCCTTCTATACCCTTAAGTTACTGGTAACGTCAGCTCCGGCACTGGGTCTCCCAGTTTACAGAAAGAATTTACATCTTTCGTTACACAGAGGATCATGGTGGTAAACAAAGACCAATAGCATTCTACTCCACCAGATTGGACCCTGTTGCCAGGGGTGCCCCCTCATGCGTTAGGGCAGTGGCGGCTGTTACTGCCCTCCTGGACAAAGCCACTGATATTGTTTTAGATAATCTGGTGACCATATACACACCGCGTGATATCAACAGCATACTCTCACAAGTTCAACCAAAACACATACATACTGCAAGGCATCTCAGAATGCAATGTGCCTTGCTTATGCCACCTAATGTTACTCTTAAAAGGTGTATGGTGTTAAATCCATCCATATTGCTTCCCCTGGATTTAAAAGAGGGGAGTGGGGATAGTGTGAATGGTACTTGTACTTCTGATCTTTTTGTAAATTCACTTTCACCAGATGAGTTAGCTGATGCCCAGGTACCCCATGATTGTGCAGCACTAATGGCACAAGAGACAGCAGGTTTTTTGCATGTAATTGATTCTCCATTATCTAATGCAGATTTTGAGTTTTTTGTAGATGGTTCCAGATATGCTGATGAGAAGGGTAATTTCCACACTGGATATGCTGTAGTCTCTGCACATGAGGTAATAAAAGCTGAACCACTCGCTCCTCACTGCTCTGCACAGGAGGCAGAGCTGAAGGCACTCACTGAAGCGTGTAAAATGGCTTCTGGTAAGACTGCTAATATTTATACAGACTCTCGCTATGCTTTTGGTATAGCCCATCATTTTGGCCCTATAAGGCGGGCTCATGATTTTCTCACCTCAGCAGGAACTCCAATCAAGAATTCTGAAGCCGTGAGTGCACTTATGAATGCTATCCTGCTACCCACTCAAGTAGGCATCATCAAGGTGGCAGCTCACGTGAAGATCACAGATGAAATCTCAAGAGGAAACCACAAAGCAGACGAAGCTGCCAAGCAAGCAGCAATCCAAGTTCATCCCTCTACAGGTAATACCTTCCTACAAGTTGTTCTTACAGATGACGCCATTGACTACAATATACTGTTGAGTTTACAAAGACAGGCAAGCAAGGAAGAACATGATCTCTGGAGGAAACAAGATGCAGAACCTGATGATGACAGAATGTGGAGGAAAGGTAAAAGACTGTGTTTACCACGAGTGTTGTACCCCATGATGGCCCAGATTGCCCTACACATCTATCCAAGATGCACATGAACAGCATAGTAAACACCCATTGGGTAGCACCCGGATTTACTGTTGTAGCAGCTAAACACACCCAAGCTTGCATGATTTGTGCTAGAAACAATCCAGGATAGGCTGTAAAAACACCAAGTAAGCACACACCAAGGCCACTTTACCCGTTTCAAAGACTGCAGATAGACTATATTAAACTACCTAAAGTAGGAGTGCATGAATATGTGTTGGTGTGCATTGATCTCTTTTCAGGTTGGCCTGAGGCCTACCCAGTGTCGAAAGCCACAACGAAGGTCACAGCAAGTAAGCTTCTGAAGGAACTGGTATGTAGATATGGAGTACCTGAAGTGATTGAAAGTGACAGAGGTAGCCATTTCACTGGGGAAATAATGCAAGAAATTATGAAAGCCTTAGGGATCAGTCAGGCCTTCCACACCCCCTATCACCCCCAGAGTAGTGGGAAAGTAGAAAGGGCAAATGGCACCTTAAAGAACAAGATTGCAAAAGCCATGCAAGACACAGGGAAGCCCTGGACTGAATGCCTTCCCCCAGCACTCTTTTCTATGAGATTCACCCCCAATTCCAGACATGGCCTATCCCGTTTTGAGATCCTGTTTGGATGTGCCCCAAAGACAGGCCTCTATTTTCTCCAAACCTTCCAGATGCAGCATGGTAGTATGACTGCCTATGTTCAGGCCCTACACCAAAGATTAGGCAGGGTGCATAAACAAGTCTTTGATTCTATTCCAGATCCAGACTCTGATTCTGCAACTCACAAACTGCAACCTGGTGATTGGGTGTTGATAAAGAGGCATGTGAAGAAAGGACTTGAACCACGCTTTGATGGTCCATTCCAAGTGCTCTTGACTACGGCTACCTCAGTGAAACTAGAAGGAAAAGCCATGTGGATACACGCCAGTCACTGTAAACAAGTCACTCTGACTGATCCACCAACATGAAGCTGTTCTTATCCTTTACCATTTTATACTGTGTTCGGATATGCTACTCTGACTTGAGACCAGAAAATAATAATGCATGGCAGGAAAATATATGGTTGCAGAGAGCAAAGGCTTTTAATTTAACCTCCTTTTGCCTCAACCCTCTCCTCAGTACTGAAAATGCCATAGAATCTTGTCTTATAGCTGTCCCTACCCCCATCTCACAGTTGAGGAAGTACCTACATACCCATAGACCCGATAAATCTCTACAATTATATTCTTATGCCTTCAACCCACTGGTAGGCAAGCCTCCTCTAGCCCTGAAGACAATTAATGTGACAGGCGCTGAACTATGTTGGTCTTTTTCATGTAATTGTTCAAGAGACCCTAATACTGAATCCCTGTTTTGCCCCACATGGTGGAAAAATACCACAAGTTGTAGAGCCCTGAGCACCACTATGAATTGTACCAAAACTCACCAAGTTATGAGTTACCACTACAATGTCTATCTTCCTAAAGGATGGACTTTCTCCTGTGGAAATATTACTTATGCTTATGTCCAGGTAACATTACAGGAGGTTCCTGTGCAATCTCTCGCCTAACCATGACCATGTTTTCCAAATCTGACCTTATCACTAAAACCACCCAGCTACACAAACTGCTGAGAGACAGGAGAGATGTTAAAAACATGACTTAGTACAGGATATCAAACAGGATACTGGCTTCTTTGGGGATTGGGATTGGACATTTGGGCAAGGAACATGGTTAACTTTACTAATTAAGAAGATTTTGTACTTTTTGCTATTAGCTGTATTTGTCATTATGGCTATTTTTCTAACCTTTAGATTTTTTTCATGTCTACTAACCTCTCTATGTAAAAGCAAACCTACTGTTGGTCGTACCTTAACTTACATTCCAGCTCCGACTTCGAAAAGGTTTTATGATGTTACCTCGCCTAACAAATGAAGGAACTCTCCTCTGCTGATTCTGGTGGTCTCTCAGTCCAAGGGAACCGTGGTGAAGCAATAAATGAAAGTCCCACAGGCTTTGGCTAGCAGGCCTGGATATACCTTGGACATTTGGGTGACCCTTGGATCAAAAGAGGGGATTGTGATAGAATTTATCTTGATTCCAAGGCTCAAGCTTATAGGTGTCATATAATGATATCCTATATTAAAATTGGCTAACTTGGACTCAGGAAATGCTTGATGCTTAAACAACACTTAAGACCATATATGTCTAAGTTCCGGGAGTAGAGAGCCCCCACCTAAGATGTCTCTGCTCTAATCATTTTGTTCTCTCTTGCCTTGAAACTTATTTGTTATGTGTACATGATGCTCATCCCTATGTCTTATCTGTACACTCTTCCTATTACTGTTCTAAGAATATTTGCACGTAAGCACTTACTTTTTAATGTATAAAACCCAGCTGATGAATAAAACGTCAGAGGCTTATTTTGAATACCAACAGGTGTCTGGTGTCTAATTCTCGCTTCTCCAAGTGTACTTGTAACAACAATTTGGGCTTCCTCTGAATATAACAAAGATCAACATTCTGATCCACAACAACAGATACCTCCCCATCACAGAAAGCCTTGTTTTCTACCAAGTCTTGGGATGCTATGAGGAGTGATACCAGGTTGACATCTGTCCCTTCTAAAATTTCTTTCTTAAAAGCCTGGGGCACTAAGTGGGCAGGCGTGATAATGTGTGTGGATGTAGGTGCTGGGTCGGAAAATGTGCTGTTACCCAGGTTAGGCAAAGTCTGTGGTAGCATGGCCACTTGACTTTCAAGTTTCTCCAGTATATCATTGATGAGGTTAACTGAAGAAAGAAGAGTGGACATAGTGGCCTGAAGTCCAGGCATGCTTCCATCGATTGCTTATGTGCTGGTCCCTGGTCGCGGGGTGTCAGGGTTAGTGTTCAGGAGGCGGTATAGTTCCGCTTTGCAGGCCATGGCCGGGTATGGTATGCCTCGTCTTCTGAGTTCAGCTGTGATCTTGGGTATGGTCCAGGAGCGTAGGGATGCTGAACTAGCCGTCTCTACATTATCCACTGTGGTACTTGGTCTGGTAGGGCTGGAGATTCTGGCTGGGGTGCTGGGTATGGAGACATTCTATAACATGAGTAAGTACATGAGTTAGGGGACATTGATTCGATTGGGGGAAGAGTATTATTGGGAGAGTTGTTTACGTTTTTTGCGGGGAGTGAAACTCGTACGTGTCTATGGTGAGTTTGCCCGTGATGCCGGTGGGCGAAGTGGTCTGTGAGGACCGAATAAGCATGATGATGTGCGAAATAGAGTGAACTATGGAACGATGTGGGGGTGTCGTGCCTCGGTGGCGAGTTTGATGGCTTTATCCACTGAATGTGGACGTGGTTAGGGACCGTGATTTAATTGGGGTCGTTGTGTTGGCTTTGTAACCTGTTGGTCTGTCAGGTGCGTGTCTGACAGGGTGATTACTTAATGGGAGAAATAGGAGGGAAAAGAAACATGATACTTACTTTTGGTTAGCGAGTTTGCACGATTGCCATGACCTACGGGAAGGAATTAATGTCTTGCAGACTGTTATGGCATGTGGGTTGCCTGAGATGGCTTAGAGACCTGCACGAAACTTGTCCGGTGGATACGGGGTAGATGTTTACGGACTATGTGTTGTCCCGGAAAGCCTAAGTGATGATTAGAGTGAGTATGCGACCGTGATATTGTTATTGCATCGACAAGATACTATCTCTTACTTACCTATGTATTTATGATAGTGTGGTATCCAACGATTTGGTATCCTATGTTAGGGATTGCCTAGATAAGATTTGAGATTAGCTGTGGCTGATGGGAGTGATGGCTGATTTATTAGAGCAGGAGAAAACCGTAATTGTGCATATTTTTTAAATTGCCACGTGGATATGTTTCTTGTAGATGTGATTTACAACAGGAAAGTGGTCATAACCACTGACTGGAAATTGAACACTAAGCACTAAGTGCAATATGTCTCATGAGCTATTGGGGATCTGCAGCCGTGAGTTTGTGAAGACCAAGGGGGAGTGGGGCGGAGGCGTGAGTGTGTGTCCGGTGTGTATGGTACTTATGTGTGTGGGGGAGGGAGAGGGGGTTTGGCAGTCGACACGCGTGTGCTTGCCAGCCCCTCTACTCCCCTGACCAGTGAACTGTGTGTCCGGAGTCAAGGAGTGACCCAGAAGGAAGGCGTGGGGGGGCTGGCATTTGGTGCTGGTTTGTGCTTGCCAGCCCCTCTGCTCCCCTGTCGGGTTGACTGTGTGCCCGGAGTTAAGGAGGCATGTGCTGGGTACTTACGCGACCGGAGGTGATTGCGGCCTGGAAGTGACGGTGGCAACGAGCTGGCGGAAGCTCAGAAACCATCCGAAATTACTAGTTCTGTTCAGTGATGTCTCATGAGCGCCACGGTACCCCCTATGTATAGGTTTTATGTGTTTTTTGAAAGTTACAGGGTCATATATGAGTCTTATCCATTTATGTTTTGTCGCATTCAAATTTGTCAGATTAGTCTGCTGTGACAAGGCCGCATTTGAGACCGTATGGCGACCACAAAATCAAATTTACCCCCATCATTGCATACCATTTGAAAAAGTAGACATCCCAGGGTATTCAAAACGGGGTATGCCCAGTCTTTTGTAGTAGCCACTTGAGCACAAACCCTAGCCAAAGTTAGTGTTTGTGTTTTTTTTTTGCATTTTTCACATAAAAACTGTAATTTTATTGTCAGTATGTAGTTTACTGCCATTAAACACTCCTAGTTCTGTTCAGTGATGTCTCACAAGCGCCACGGTACCACCATGTATAGGTATTATGGGATTTTGGAAAGTTAAAGGGTCAAACATATGCCTGTCCATTTTTGGGTTTTAAACATTGAAAATTGGCAAAGCGATTTTCTGAGCCTATCTTGCCTTTGAGAGAGCATGGCAGCCTGGGTAAAATTATTTTCACTATTATGATATACCATTTTCAAAAGTAGGCAACCCAGAGTATTTCAAATGGTGCAATTTAAGATGTTTGGTCTAACCACTTTATCAGAAATGAAGGGCCCACATAGCGGTAATAGATTTATTTGTGCTTTTTTCCACACATGAACTCACTTTTCACAGGACATTTACTATTCCTGGTATGAGTTATTGCAAAAAAGCCTCACTATTTTTTTTAACATTGTTTCCTGAATATAACAGTACCCCCATGCTACAGGCGCGCACACACACACAGCTTAAGGTAGTGGCTCTGGTGTCTATAGCCTGTCCCTGCAGTGAGTGGGCTTGCTTGTGTGTGTGTGTGTGTGTATGTGCCTGCTACTGAGTGAGCTTGTGTTTTTATGTCAATGACCTTCTGTATATCAGTGAGATTGTTTGTCTATGAGGCTGTGTATCAATCAGCTTTAGTCAGTGAGATTGTCTGTGTCTGCATGTGAGTATGCTTACTGTATAATTAAAAATTTTACTCTGAAAGGACCAATATTTTATATTGGAAAAAGCTATATACCGTATATACTCGAGTATAAGCTGAGTTTTTCAGCACATTTTTTGTGCTGAAAAACCCCAACTCGGCTTATACTCGAGTCACTGTCTGTATTATGGCAATTTACATTGCCATAATACAGACTGGGGGCTGGCAGCGAGCGCTTACCTCTCCTGCAGCTCCTGCCAGCTCTCTCCTCCTCCGCGCCGGTCCGGTCAGCACCTCGGTCAGCTCCCAGTGTAAGTCTCGCGAGAGCCGCGGGGTCATAGCAGCTCCTGCCAGCTCCCTCCTCCTCCGCGCCGGTCCGTGCAGCACCTCGAGCTCCCAGTGTAAGTCTCGCGAGAGCCGCGGGGTCATAGTGCGGCTCTCGCGAGACTTACAGTGTGAGCTGAGAGAGGAGCTGCACGGACCGGCGCGGAGGAGGAGAGAGCTGACAGGAGCTGCAGGAGAGGTAAGTAACAGCTCTGACAGCCCCCCTCCTCCCCCCACTGAACTGCCAATGCCACTGGACCACCAGGGAAGGACAGCCCCCCTCCCTGCCATGTATCAATCAGGGAGGGGGACAACAAAATAAATAAATATAATAATACATAAATATAAATAATAATAAAAAAATAATAAAAAAAATAATATAATGAAAAAATTAAAATAATATTAATTAATAATATAAAAATATAAATAATAATAAAAAATAATTAAAAAAAATAATAATATAACAAAAAATTAAAATATATATTTTTTTTTTATAAAAATGCCCACCCCCCACCAAGGCTCTGCAACACAAACACACACTGCATCACACACACACACACACACACACTGCATTCACACACACACACACACACTGCACTCATACACACACACACACTGCATTTATACACACACTGCACTCATATACACACTGCATTTATACACACACTGCGCACTCATACACACACACACTGCATTCATCATATACACACACTGTAAATAAATATTCAATTAATATAATTTTTTTAGGATCTAATTTTATTTAGAAATTTACCAGTAGCTGCTGCATTTTCCACCCTAGTCTTATACTCGAGTCAATACGTTTTCCCAGTTTTTTGGGGTAAAATTAGGGGCCTCGGCTTATATTCGGGTCGGCTTATACTCGAGTATATACGGTATATATATATATATATATATATATATATATATATATATATCTCTCAATCATCTAGGGTGGCAAGACATAGACTTACATATTACATGCGACAATATATTGCGCAAATACTGGGGGCTGGCATAGATTTTTTTTCCAGGGCTGTTTTGGAATCCCCAGTCCAGCCCTGGTTTGAAGTGTTTAGTTATAGTGAAACTTAGCTTTGAACAAGACCCGAACATAAAGATACACCTTCAAGCTTGCTGTAGGTTAAGATGTTAAGATAAGATAAAGGATTTTGTTAGGACTAGATAAAGCTTGTAAGACCACCCTTGTTTCCTTTTGAACATAGACTGTTACACAGCTCATTAAAGGCTCAGAATTCACCTTGAACCTTGTCTTGTATTGTTCATTGGGGCTACTCACCAGCTGGTTTGGGGAAAAGGAGAAATACAGAGAGTTGCAAATTGATACAAAATACCATGGCAAGGGAAAATTCCTGACAGAGAAAATGTTGTGGGTAAGCAGGAACAGAATTTTAATGGAGGCACACTGGCCTTTTATGCAAATTTACCAACAAGGGTGACACCCAGGTGGACCTTGTTGGGCACAGGGACACAAAGTGAATAAACCAATAAAAGCGGAGTCATGCAGTGAGACACTCCCATACATAAACAATAGAATCCCTCCTCTGTGCTTGAGAGGTAATTGAATCAGGAACTGTACTAATCTAACCCAATTATCTCCAAGCACAGAAAAACATTCAATTTTATAAAACCCTAAAAAGTACCTTACAAATACATAAAACCCCATAACCCTTCCCTAATAGCCCCAATCTGGGTGAACAACATATCCAAAAATCACC